GGCAGAAGGCACAACCCGTGCAAAGGCCCTGGGGCAGGACAGGCCTGGCGTGTTGGAGGAACAGTGAGGAGCCCTTGTGGCTGGAGCAGAGGGAGTGAGGGGGAGAGAGGGAGGAGGGAGGGCGGGGAGGGGATGGGGCAGGTCATGCAGGGCCTGGGGAGCCGCGGGGAGGACGTGGGCTTCTCCCCCGAGGGAGGGGGAGCCCTGGAGGGCTGTGGACAGAGGAGGGGGACCGGGAACAAGCACCCTCATACACGTGGGGACAGTGGGAGCTGTTGGCACCCACTGAAATTCAAAATGAACCAAACTGGCCCTCTGCCCTCTAGAGCAGCATACAGACACGTCCAATCACCTTCACTTCCGCGTTCAAGTACAAATAATTGGAAACTACCAGCAGCCCACCACCAGGGGGCAGGCGACCCCGCCACCTGGGTAAGGGAAGACTACGCAGCCATGATAAAGGGTGAGGTCAGCGGTGTGAGCGGATGTGGACCCATGTCTGGGGTACGTGGATAGGGGCAAGAGGAAGCCTCAAGGACAATGATGTGGGAGGAGAAAGTTCTGGAAGCATTTGCACCAGAATGTCAATGGGGGTCACCCAAGGCAAGGGGATTTATTTTATTTTATTTTATTATTACTTTTTTTATTGAGATGAAATTCACATAACAAAATCAACCAATTCAGTGGCATTTAGTACATTCTCAGTGTTGTGCAACCATCAACACTATAGTTCCAGAACATTCCATCCCCCCAAAAGGAAACCCCATCCCCATGAGCACTCGCTCCCCACCTTCCTCCCCAGCCCCTGATAAACACGAACCCACTTCCTGTCTGTGGATGTGCCTGTTCTGGACGTTTTACATCAATGGACTCACACACCGTGTGTCCTTCTGTGTCTGGTTCTCTCACTGAGCATCGTGTGTTCAAGGTCCATCCACGGTGTGGCTGTGTCAGGGCCTCACTCTTCTTCATGGCTGCGTAATATTCCACCGTATGGATGGACCACATTGTGTGTGTGTTCATTCATCCATCGCTGGGCATTTGGGTTGTTTCCATCTTTTGGCCGTTATAAATAATGCTGCTATGAACATTCACGTAAAAGTTTTTGTGTAAACACCTGTCTTCAAATCCTTTGGGTAGAGCCCCAGGAGTGGAATTGCTGGGTCCTACGGTAATTCTCTGTTTACCTAACTGAGGAACTGCCAAACTAGTATTATCACTTTTAAACCCGAGGAAGCCTCCTGGGGTTGATGCGTGATGGTGACGACTCTCAGTGGGCTGGGTGGGGTCCCTGGTAAGTTGAGGCCCCTGCCCCGACTAACGGGGGTGGCACCTCTCAGCATCAGCCGTGAGAAAACGTGGGCCCAGCGTGGCCAGATCCCCTGATGCTTCAGAGCAAGCGCCGATTCTAGACCTACAGGAAACTTCCAGATCTTTAAACATCGTCACTAATTTAAAAACCCAAACAAAATCCCTTGATCAGAGGAGGCACATCTGGGGGCCGGGTGTGGCCCCCGGGGGCCGCAGTTTGCAACCCTCGCTTTCCACTGGCCTGTGTAGTTTGAAGGCATTCTAGAACATTCTCGATGTTTGTAATTCGAAAAAAAGCAGTAAATGAAAGGGGCTGGGGGAGGCCCTGCCTGCAGCTGCCGACGACCCCCGGCTGCCGAGGGTGTAGAAATGCAGTGGGCCCGGGGGGCCATCGGTGGACCAGCAGACCAGGGGCTGCGCTGGGTGAGGCCCAGCTGTGAGCAGCCGCTCTGTGCCCAGAGGTCGCACGGGTTCTGCCTCCTTTTAAATGGAAACCCTTAAACCATCTGTATGAGCCCCTCCTGCTGCCATAACAAAGCACCACAAATCTAGTGGTTGAAAACAACACACATTTCTTATCTGACGCTTCTGGAGGCCGGGAGTCCCACATGGGCCTCCCCGGGCTCAAGTCCAGGTGCGGGCAGGGCTGGTCCTCCGGAGGCTCCGGGGAGAAGCGTCTCCTGCCTTTTCCGGCTTCTAGAGGCCGCGTCCTGGGCTCGGGGCCCCTTCCTCCGTCTGCACAGCCCGCAGCGCAGCGTCTCCCGTCTCTCTCTGCCTCTCACCCTCCTCCTCCCTCTGACGAGGACCCAGGGGATGGCACTGGGCTCAACTAAATAATCTAAAACCATCTCCTTGTCGCAAAGTCCTTAATCTAACCACATTTGCTAATTTCCCTTTTTTCGTAGGGTTTCTGTAACAAAGTGCCACAAACTGGGGGGCTTAAGGTGGCACAGATCTATTCTCTCACATTCTGGAGGCCAGAGGGCTGAAATCAAGGGGTCGCAGGGCTGCGTTCCCTCCGGAGGCTCCAGGGGAGGGTCCTTCCGGCCTCTTCCAGGTTCTGGGGGCCCCAGGCGTCCCCTGGCTGGTGGCCGCACCCCTGCAGCCTCTGCCTCTATCTTCACAGGGTGGTCTTCTCCCTGTGTCTCTGTGTCCTCTTCTTATAAGGGCACCAGTCATTGGATTTAGGGCCCACCCTAGACGCAGGACGATTTCATCTCAAGATCCTTAACTAATGACACCAGCAAAGACCCTATTTCCAAATAAGGTCACATTCGGGGGTTCTGGGTGGATATGAATTTCAGGGGGACGTTATTTATCCCACTACACTGTGTAAGGTAGCATATCCACAGGTTCCAAGGATTGGGCTGAGGACATCTTTGGGGAGATATTATTCTGCCTACCACGCCGTCCACCCTATCGTGTCCCTCACTCCATCTCTGTGCTGTTGTTCACACAGGCCGAGCTTGTTGCTGCCGCAGGGCCTTTGTACGTGCTGTTTCCCCCAGAAACCCACATGGCTCCCTCCCTCCCCTCCCTCAGGTGTCTGCTCAGATGTCACCTCCTCAGTGAGGCCTCCCCGCGTTTGTCACTTTCATCCTCCTCCATCTCTGGATCCTGTACCCCCCTCCCTGCTTTCTTTTTTCCCATAGTGTTTATTACCCAACACACCCCACAATTATTTATCGTGTGTGTTGCTCATCACCTGCCCTCCCCGCTGGACGTGAGCCCCGAGAGGGCAGGGCCTGGGTCTGTCTCGGTTACTGCTTGTCAGAGCCCCCAGCCCGGGGCCCGGCAATATGAGGGAGTCAGATGGGTACCCATGTGACGTGGGTGACTTGCTTTCCATCCTGGACCCTCAGTTTCCACATCCGTCAATGGGGTCGTGATCCGTCCAGCCTTGGGGGCGATAGAGTCTTTAGCTGTCCACCCCAAGTCTGCAGAAGCGCTGGGCCAGCCGGGTGCTGGCACATGGTGAGAGCCTGACTCTCGCTCCCTCGTTCCATCACTCAGACCCGGCGGGGGAGGTGACAGCCCCGCAGAGGCCACTGGCTGGGGCTGTGCCATCGGGGCCAAGATGCTGTCACATTTGGTAAATTACAGGCAGGCGGCTCCCGCAGCCACAGCACTGAGGACAGGCAGGGACGTGACTGGGAATTTCTGGGGTCCCTCTTGAGACTCAAGGCTGGGCTCAGAAGTGGAGGCCGGGAAGCCCTCCCTGCCCCTCTCCGGGCCTCAGTTTCCCCATCAGCAAAAATAAGGGGCCTTGAGATCATCGAGGCGTCTCTGAGTTCCTTCAACCGTATCCTGCACTGAGTCCCTGACCAAACCCTTCCGTGGCTTTGAGCCTCCATATGTAAAGTGCAAGGATGAAAAAATAAGAAATAAGACCTGAGCATGGATGGCAGGTAAGCACCGTCTCCTTCGCTGCTCCAGGAAAGGGCCTGGAGCTCAGCAAACAGTAATAGTACCCCCCTCATGATAGCCAAACTGTTTGAGCACCTACTGTATACCTGGCCCCACCTTAAGAACTTTATAAGAATTTTAGATCTAACTTACGATACAGGATTCTATTATTATCCCCACCTTGCAGATGAGGAAACCGAGGCCCAGAGAAGTAAAGGTGCTCACTCAAGGTCACACAGCCAAGAAGTTGGGGAAGCTGTATGGGACCCAAGTCTCTCTGATCCCAAGTCTGCGCTCTAAACAGCCAAACTCTCCACCATGGGAAATGTCTGTCGAGTGAATAAATGAGTGTTGATCGATCCTGTGGGAAGGGAGAAGGGGCTCTTGGTCACTTTCTGTAATGACACAGTTTTCCCCAAGAGCAAGGCCAGGGCCCAGACCCTCTGCCGCCCCCTCCATCGTCCCAGCACAGCCGCCGCCTTGCGAAGAGGTGGCCGCGGAAACCGGTTCTTCCTTGAACCCTGGCTGAAGGCTCCCCCGTCTCCCCGAGACCCGCCTGGCAGGGGAAGGCATGAAAAAGAGACAGAAGAGAAGAGACAAGGACTCTCCCCATTCGCCCGCCTGCAGCCTCCTTTGCAGAAAAGCAAAAAACAAAAAACCCGAGAGCCAGCCCGCGGCCGCACGCGGGTGTGTGCGCGTGTGCGAGCGCACGCACAGATCTATGAAATATTTAGGCGGCGCCCAGCGTGTTTATGGCCGTAATTAATCTTGTGTCTCGTTGGCGGAGAGCAGAACGTTATGAAATTGCTCTCCGTGGCCCGGGTGAAGCGCGGGCTCCTTTCCCGGGACGCAGAGGATGGGGGCCAGCTTGTGGCCTTGGGCTCTGGAAGCCTCCGGAAGCTTCTCTTAAATCCCCCCCACACCCGTGCCTGTCCCCCACCCCGTCACGGCCATGCTGGTCCCCCCCGCACCCTGGGCTCTGGGCTCAGTGATTTCTTTTGGTTATTTCATTTTGTTTTCACAGCTTAATTGAGGTGAAATTGTCATATGGTGAACTGCAAATATTTCAAGCGTGCGGTTGGATGCGTTTTCACAGCCAGGCACGCACACCCGTAAAACCATCAGGACCCTGACCTCGTCCAGCTCCCATTGGGTCCCTCCGTAGTTCCTCCCAGCCACACACCCAGCTCTTCCGGAGCCCCCCGGTCTGCTCTCGGTCACTGGAAATTGGTGTGCACGTTCGAGGCATCTCACAGTGTGCATCCTGGCTTCCGTGGCTCGGCATGACGATGTTGGGGCTCACGCGTGTGGTTGCGTGTCTCCGTGCTCCCTTCCTCTTTGTGGCTGAGGAATGTTCCACGGTTCGCGTGGACCACGGTCTGCCGGTCCACCCACCTGCCGACGGACGTCTGGGTGGTTTCCGATTTGGGGCTTTTCCGGATAAAGATGCTCCCAACACGTGGGTACAGGTCTTCGTGTGGACGTGTGTTCTCGGCTCTCTCGGGTAAATCCTAGGGGTGGAATTGCGGGGTCACAGGGTGGCTGTGGGTTTCACTGTGTAAGAAATGAGGGCTAAGCGTGTGAAATGTGACGACAGCGCGTGCAAAGCGCTGGGCGTGGACCATCTTGTTCCACCCGTGAGACAGCTCGGTGACGAGAAGGGGAAACTGAGGACAGGCCATGTGGCTGGGAAGTGGCAGAGCTGGGACTCGAACCCAGGGCCGTCCGAGCCTGGAGCATTGCCTGTGGGCTGCATTATCCAGAACCGGAATGGAAGCCCGTGGGCACATTCAGCGTCTCGCTCTTCCCTAGCTTGGCCGTGAGCAACTCTGACTCTGCCTGCTGTCCCCTGGAGGCCTGGTACCCAGTAGGTGCCCAATAAGTGCACAGAGAAGCCGAGCTAAGAGCCGTCAGTCTGGCTGCAAATCAGATCCCACTCCTCCCCCACTGAAACCTGCAGTGGCTCCCTGCTGACTTAGGGGTAAAGCTTAAACTGCATAACGCAACCTGCGGGCTCGTTCACATTCTGGCCCTGCTCCTGTTCCAGCCGCACTGGCCTCCTTCCTATTTGTGGAATTCCCAAACACGGTCCTGCCCCAGGGCCTTTGCACCTGCTGCTCCCTCTGCTTGGATGGCTCTCCTCCTGACATGGGCGGCTCCTCTGCCTCCTTCATGTCTCAGCTCAAAGGTCACCTCCTCAGGGAAGCCCTCCCTGACTTCCCCAGCCCCCTCTGTGGCCTCCATCACCCTATTATTTCCTGTCTCTATCCCTTTTCGCTCTTTGAGATTCTATTATGTATTTATTAACTTGTAAAAAAATTCATTACACTCCCCGTCTGCCCGGCGCCGCTGTAAGTACACAGTTTCCGTGTGTTAACTCATCTAAACTTTTTAACAACTTTCGGCGTTAGCTACTATCATTATCTCCATTTGTGGGAAACCGAGACACAGAGCGATTCAGGCCACACAGCCAGGAAGCCTCTGAGGGGTGGGGGGTATGTGCTTACGATCCGTCCCCCGACAGGAGCCGTCTGATCCATCACAGCTGTGCTCGTGGTTCCAGCACAGGGGACGGCCCAGCGTGGTTGGTCAACAGTCCCCATTTTAACAGACGAAGCAGCAGAGGCCCCAGGGGGCAGGTCACGTGCCCGGTGGCAGGGTCAGCTTTGAACCTGCATCTTGGACCTGCCAGCCCCACCTTCTGTCCTCTCTCCAGGGCCACGACCAGGGTCCCCCAAACCGCGAGCCCCGGCGCCTGGGAGCGGCCTCGGCGGGAGCTGGCTCAGACGGCGAACAGATGCTCGCTATTTTAAACCCACTGTTTAACACATTAAGACAGCTGTTTCCCATCCCCAAAGTCGGCGGAATTAGAATTAAATTCATTCCAGAATTAAACACACACATATACATGCGTACAGCCCGCCACCATTTGGAGGCAAAACTTGTTAGCATTTAGGCAAGCTGTGTCTTCCAGCCTGGGGACGGATGAGGCCCTCTTCCGCCTGACAAGTGACATCACGGCCCAGCGGTTGCCAGCTGGGCCTGTGGCCAGGATGCCCCGTGGGCCCAGATTCCCACGTCTACCCAGGCCTCCACCGTTGGAGTCCACTGCCGAGTGGGGTCCCCCTGAACTTCTCCCTGACCCCTCAGGCCCAGCGGGGCCCAGACAAAGCTCTGCATTGACCCCTGAATCAGTTTCCCCTCTCGGGCCCCCATCTTGGGGACAGCCACCCCACCTCCACCTGCGTCTCACTGCAGAGCCCAGATCTTACCTCCTCTTGCTCCTCTCCCCTCACCTCTTACATCCAAATGCCCAGCTTTCCCTGGTAATGCCACTTCCAAACAGCTTTGCTCTACCCCTACTGCTATGGCACTGGTCCTAGCCTCCATCACCTCCAGCCTGGATGCTCGCCCTGCCTCCTCCCCGGGTTCCCAGCTTCCACCCTCACCCCTGACAGGCTGTGATTCCTCAGCAGCTGGAGGGATTTTCCTCGAGTCTCAGTCGGATGGTGCCACTCTCTTGCTTAAAATCCTCCGGTGCAGGGCTGTCCGATAGAACGTTCAGTCATGACGGAATGTTCTAGGACTGTGCCGCCAAACATGGTCACCCATGCGGCTATGGAGCACTTAAAACGTGTGAGTGTGAGTGAGGAACTGAATTTTGAATTTTATTTCATCTTAATGAATTTGAATAAGCACGTTCTCGCCCACAGCAGGTGAGAAGTGTCACAGAATTCACGCCACCCCCCCACCAGCGACCCCCAACCAATGGCTGGCACGTAAATACCCCAGCTCCCTCCTCCCTCGAGTGGGGCATCTCTGACGTGCATGCTGTACGCTGTCTCCCAGAGGTCCCCCGCGGGCCTGAGACCCACCCGTCCACCAGTCACCTGCTCACGAATGCACCCTGCATTGCATCAGCTCCTTCCCATCCCTCTCTCACTTCCCCTGCTCTGCTGGGGTTTCCTGGGATCACCTCCCACATAAACAATTTGTACCCAAATCCTTTTCTCAAGGGCTGCTCGCAGGGAACCCAGATTGGCCAGGCTCTGCATTGTGCTTACAATAAAATGCAAACTGTCCATCATCACTGCAGAAATTAATAAAAGATGCAGTAATTAAATTAGAGTTGAGAAGGCCTGGGGGGGGAGCTCTCAAGCCCCATCACATCATCATCAATTACACCAAACAGGGCGATGCGGACACTTGCATTTTGGGCGGGAAGTAAAACGACTTAACTCCTGAATGAAGATTTCTTTCCCCACCTGGCAACAGCCCAGCCAATGAGAAATGCCTCAGCTCAGCCAATGAGAAACGCTGCAGCTCAGCCAATGAGAACCACCGCAGCTCAGCCAATGAGAAACACTGCAGCTCAGCCAATGCGAAATGCCACAGCTCAGCCAATGAGAAACACTGCAGCTCAGCCAATGACAAATGCCGCAGCTCAGCCAATGACAAATGCTGCAGCTCAGCCAATGAGAAATGTCACAGCTCAGCCACCAGTGAGAAACGCTGCAGCTCAGCCAATGAAAAATGCCACAGCTCAGCCACCAGTGAGAAACACTGCAGCTCAGCCACCAATGAGAAATGCTGCAGCTCAGCCAATGAGAAACCTGCAACTCAGCCAATGAGAAACACCACACCTCAGCCAATGAGAAACACTGCAGCTCAGCCAATGAGAAATGCCACAGCTCAGCCACCAGTGAGAAACACTGCAGCTCAGCCAATGAGAAATGCCACAGCTCAG